AATATCTAGCTTCCTACAGGTCACATGCCTGTTCCCATTTATGTGTTTTGCAACCACAATATTTACATATAATCATCCTGTTCTGATGTCTAATGTCTCTGATTAAAGATTACATTTCTAGTTCTAAGATATATGGTAGCAGAAAAATGCACAGAAAAATCAAGAATAGTTAAAAAAAATCATCTTAAAACTATGGAAGTGGTAATGTTAATTGTGGGGCTTATTATACTTAATGCTTTGAATACTCTCTCAGATGCTGGGACTCTGAGGAAGGGCTGAGAATACTTCCATTTGCCAATAATGCAGGAGTTGCATACAAATTGTGACATACACTAAGTTAAGCTGGACCTACCTTTAAATTTTTTTTTTCTAGGAATTTTCATTGAAAATAAAAGACTTATTTTTCACAAGTTCTCAGCACTGAGCACAGACACTGACTCTAGCAGGTGCTTCAGATGCTAAGCTCTTATGGAAACCACATCCCGTTCCAAAGTTTATATAAAATAAGTGATAAGTAAAAAATAAAGCCAAATATGTGATTAATTCATACGTTATTTTTCTTTACAAGAGATATAACCAAGAAAAGAGAATAGGCAGGCACTTACATGAACACTAACTTTTCCCAGGTCCTTAATTTTTTTTGTTCTGAAATACTGTTTGCTAGCTCTTGGTTTGCTTTTTTCCTGGTAGTCTGAAGCAATTCTTCAAAGGCCATATTTTTGTCACGTTCTTCTTTTTCAAGCTGTTCAGTCTTAATGGCAATCTCCTTTTTATGTTCCTCTACAACTTGTAGCAAGTATGACTTTGGCACACTGAATTTTAACAGTTCTGGCACAATTACTCCATACTGAATGTGTTTAAGCTCCTCAATCGCTTTCTCTGTCAGACTAAATTGAAATACTTTTAGTTCTTCACTGGCATTATTATCAAGCTTTTCAGTAAGTTCTTCAGATTCAACAGCCTGATCAATCAGAAGGTTTTGCCACTGCCTCAAGTAGTGGCTAACCTCTTTAGTGGTTTTGAAAGCATCTCCCAATGACATCTGCTCCTTTCGTTGTTCTTTCTGCTGATTTGTTTACCGAAAAAGAAACAAGATAAATATAAGGAATAACTTTCCAATTCATAAATAGAGCAGAACCGACATCAATTGCATTTGGGTGTTCACAAACCACTCAATTCATAGTGGGTTGCCAAATTAAATGCAAGCCGCACACCATGCAAAGGAGCACCGCCTGTATGATAAGCTAGAACGGAGCTGTCCACCTAGCCATCTACTGAGCAGTTAACAAGCAGGTGATGGGCTCCTGCCTAGCTGCCACTCTGCCCATTGCTCTTGTGGCACTGGTGGCCATGGTCTCCAGCCAGCCATACCTTCTGGGGGTGGGGCAGCACAGTACAAGCGGGTCAGGCTGCCTGCACAATGTGCACCACCAGGAGGTCCTGCACCAATAGTGAGGGGCAGCTGAGCTTCCTGTGTTGTACAGCAGGCTCCCCACATAAATATAAGACATGCCATTATGGGGTCACACCACAGGTCTCCCCAGTAAACTGTACCTCACCATGGAAATGGAGGCTGAGGGAAAGAGTATTTATGCCTATCCAAACTGATGAGCCCAGCAGCCACTATTACTTTGGGTTAAGATTACACATAATGGCTAATGCCTACAAAAATGCAATGTGCATTTTTTGCATTTGTCTAATAATACGGCATACTCTAGGCATCTGAGTATATAAAGGTTCCGAAATGTAAATTACAGAAATGAGCAGTCAAAGAAATGCTGGGAAGGGAGAGAGAGACTTTTATAGATATCTAGCATCTTACTGCATATAATACTTTCACAGTAAGCTGGTGCAGAGCCACCCTTGTGTTGATAAAAGCCTTGGATGACACTAAATTATATGCCTAGCTTTCTCTCTTGCCTTTGAAGGATTGCTCAAAAATGCAACCTTCCAATTACATATTCTGCATCCTTCCATTCTTTGTAATTCACGTACAGGATTTTAGTTAGCCACAAATGCATAAACTAGACCAGAGGGCAATGAGTGGAGAATTCACAAAGAATATGGATAAACAGGATTGTCACAGATCTCTATGGAGCCTGGAACCTAGTTTGTGTAGCCATGGAAGCTGCATATAAAAACTGTAGAACCTAGTCCTAATACCTTTGACCCAAGGAGACTTCAAATTTCAGAATGGAAACTTGGAGTTTCTTCAGTCATATAACTTCCCTGCATATTTTTCTAAGAGTAGGACATAATCTGATCAGAGCCTGAACAGCAGGGATATGAGTTACTACATAGCTATACTGTGGTAACATTACTGAGAATAATGAAAATAAAGGATTTCCTCTATTCCCCCCCAGCATAAGTATTAAATTTCTTCATGTAAGAATTATACTTTATCTTGCAGCTCTATTGTTTTCCGCTTCATAATCCCAGAGTAAATAATTACCTTTTGCAACACTTCTCTTCTTCTCTTAAAAATGAGCTTCTGGTGAAGCTTTTGCTTTTCATGTCTCAAACCATGATCCAACTTCTGTTCAACAGAACGAACTTCTGCCTGAGCCCGGTCCAGCAGGATTCCCAAATGACTTTCAGACAAATGACCAGCTCTGGAATAATAGCGTTTAGAACGTGTTACCTTGAGTACTTAACTGTATGAGTATATGACACACTGCCATAGGATCACAGCATGTTTCTACTTATGCATAAATAAGAAACAAAGAAGGAAAAAAAAAAAATCAAGGATACAGTAGAGCCAAGTGCTTGTACCCAGGTTAGTATTTCATAAAATATTCAAAAAAGATATGTGCATATATATACTTACATATTTAAAATTAACATTTAAGGGAACATTTTTTTATGTTTTCTATTCATGGAATATCACCAAAATGTAGCTATATTTATGCCTTCTTTCCATGTTTAAATACCATCTTTACCTGTATCCAAGATGACTTCAAATTTAAGATGACTCCCTCTAACAGTTAGATTCTATACATGGAAACTCAACTTAAAAAATCCTTTGAAAGATGTACAGAATCTAATTAATGGAAAGTCATCTTAAATTCCTCTCCCCACTGCTGTGACAGGGAAAGCAGTAGTGGGGGACAAAGAACCAGACAATATCCAGATGCAGCTGACTGCTGTAGCCTGGGACGGCATGGTTCATAGCTACTGTCCCAACTAATGTTGCGATAACCTTCATCAGCCAGTCCTGTATAACACTATGATTTTTTAATCATAATATTGAGATAATATCATTGTGATTGTGTAATTTACACTTAGCCAAACGTGTGCAAAGATTTTCACTTACATTTTAGCAACCTTCAGAAGTATGAAAAAATTAGAGATTTTGGATGAAGAGAGAAATAATTCTACAAACTGAACTCTATTACATTTCCAAGAGCAGGGCTTGTTCCAAATTCTGGAATAAATCTGAGAGATGATGACACTTAACTCAAGCTCATTTGACTTTAATAGTTATCCCTAATTATGTGAACATAAATGAGATCCAAATCATGACTGTTGTGGGCCAAATCCAATAAAGTAGAGACAAATAAATCTCTCTCTCTTCTATTTCCACAAACAACCTAATTTATATTCTAAATACTACTGATGTTCTCTTCACTTCAGGAGTTCCCAAAATATTTCCAAACAGAGAGATAAATGATCTTAATTCAATCACATTAAGCATTTGGGTATTTGTAGTTATAACTTTAAAAAAAAAAAAAAAAAAAAGGTTTCAGATTTTTTTTTTTGTATTAAAAATAGTATTTTTTTTTTTGCTACACATCATTTGCTAAAAGGGATTTTAAAGGGTCGTAATATAATCTGGGATGAAAATGCGATCCCCAATGCATTTTGGATTTTGTCAACGAACAACTTTCTTCAACTAATCTCCAGGCACCTGATTTTCAGAGCACAGCATGAAACATATCATACTGGTTTCAGCTGGAGCTGTGGGTTCACAGCACCTAGAAAATCAAGTGAGGAAGACACTGGGTTTGAAGGGAAGGAAGAACTTGTTTCTGGCTTCTGGTCCCAATGCTATATATGCATTTTATCCAATAACATTTCAATGCAGAAGCAATACAAGAAGCACAAGCTGTACTTCAAACACTTTGGATATCAGCATTAAAAGTAACAGGGATCTTAACAAATTGGAGAAATGGGCATTATACAACAAAATGAAATTCAACAAAAGACAAATGTAACATGCAACGCATGGGGAAGAAAAACCCAAATGCATAAATACAAAATGGAGTATAGCTAGTACAGTGGTACACTGCTGGGAAGGTACTGGGAGTTACAGGGAAACAACAAATTCAATACAAGCCAATAATACATTGCTGCAAGAAGAGAAATGGAAATATCGAGTTGTATTAATAGCAATACTGTATTCAAGCTACAGTAGGTAACAGTATCTGTTCTTACCTGGTTAGAATTCAAGTGGACTACTGTGTCCTGTTCTAAGAAGGACGTGTCCCCATTATGACCTAATGAAGAATGTCTTGCATTTGAAAGCTCATCTAATTCAATCCCAGCTATGTAGTTGGTCCAATAAAAGGTAACACCTTAACAAAACCTTGCCTCTTGCATAATTCCTGGGTCACCATGGCTATAACATCACTCTAACACATCCACATTTTAATGAAGGTGGAGAGAAACTGGAGATGTTCCAAAGGTGAACAATAAAGATAATAAATAGGCCACAATGCAAGTCATCTGAGAAAAAGTTGAAGGAACTAGGCTGTTTGGTTAAAGAAAAGGAGATTAAAAAGAGGAATAACAGCAACTTTTAAATTTACAAAAGGTTATCATACAGAAGAAGAAAAATTATTCTCACCAGAGGGGGCAGCACACGGAGAAATGCGCTTGAATTACAACAAAGCAGATTCAAAGAATCATAGAAAAATGGAACAAGCTACTAAGGGAAATTGTGTAGTCTCCTTTATTGTGGGGTTTCAATAAGACACTGACTGGATAGCACTAGAAGTGGCTTTAGAAACGGTGAACCCTGCAACTGTGTGGATGACTCTTTAGGTCTCTTCCAAGTCTAATACTCTAGGCCACAGCAAAGGATGCTAGCAGTAATCAAAATAGGATCTAATGGACAAGAGTTTTGCAGTATGGATGTAGAGGAAAGGCTGTAATTTAAGACACTAGGAGAAGAATCTGCAAGACTTAATGGCCTAGATGTGAAGACCTAGAGCAGCGGTCCCCAACCCGTTGATAGCGGAGCCTCTTTTGGTCAATCTGTGCTGGGGGGGCACTGGGCATGTATGCACAGGGCCACCCCCCCAGGCCAGCAGGTCAGTCTGTGGGGGAGGGAAGGGACACGGGAACAGATTGAGGTCTCCGCAGAAAGGAAGCTGAGTGGGGCCCCACCCGGCCAGGTGGTGGGACAATTGGAGCCCAGGGGGCTCCTCCAGGAGTGTGTGTGTGGGGGGGCTCCTGCCACTGGGTGCACCCTGGCAGAGGCCCTGGGGGCATGTGCCCCCCCATCTCTGCAGGAGCAGAAGTGGCAGAGGCAGCTGCTGCTATGTCTCGAGCCCTGCTGCAGCTGGCCATGTGTGGGCACAGCTCAGCTCAGCTCAGCAGCGGGTCAGGCCCCAGCCCGGATGGGTCTGGGAAGATCTGGTCATGCAGGTGCAAATGAGGGGGCTCCCACTGCTGGATGCAGCCCGGCAGAGGCCCCAGTGGCCCATGCCCTCCCCAAACTTGTGCTTGGGTTGCAGCAGGCAGCCCACAGCAGCATCTGCCTCTGAGCACAGGTGGGGGGGCGGGAAATGGGCCCCTGGGGCCTCCATTGGGCTATGTTCAGTGGCAGCAGTCTTCCCCACATACCCCTGGATGGCCAGAGCTCAACCCCACTTCTGTGCTGCTGCTGTGCTGAGCCATGCCCACGTGGTGGCCAGATGCATGTGGCATCAGGGCCTGGCTTGGCCAGGATTGGGACTCTCCGTAGTCCAGGGGTGTGTGGGGGGACTCCCGCCACTGGACACAGCCTGGTAGAGGCTCCATAACCCTCCAACCTGTGCTCTGGGTGGAGGCAGCTGATGCTGTGGGCTGCCCACTGCACCCGGAGAACAGGTGGGGGGGCACGGGCCCCCAAGTCAGGTTCCTCCACATGCTCCTGAACCACGGAGAGTCCAAGACCCGAGCACGCTGGGGCCCAATGCTACGTGTGTCCCACCGAATGGGCACAGCTCAGCACAGCGGCAGCACAGAACTGGGGATGGGCCCTGGGCTGACCAGGTCTGGGACTCTCTGTGATCCAGGGGTGCATAAGTGGCTCCCACTGCTGGGTGCAGTCTGGCAGAGGCCTTACGGGTCCATGCCCCCTCCCACCTGCGTTCTGGGCACAGCGGGCAGCCTGTAGCAGCAGATGCCTCCATTCAGTGCACAGGTGGGAGGGCACGGGCCTGTGGCGAGTGCCCCAGGCCTGTGCTTGTTCCAATATTTGACCACCCTCATAGTCCTCCTAATATCTAGTCTAAATTTCCCCTGCTGAAGCTTGAGGCCATTGCTTTAGTTCTGTCCCGTGATGTCAGGGAGAAAAGCCCATCTGTCTCTCTCTCTGTAATCACCCTTCAGGTATGTGAAGACTGTGATCAAATCCTCTCTCAGCCTTCTCTTCTCCAGATTAAATAACCCTTGTTCTTTCAGCCTTTCCTCATAAGTCTTACCACTAATCACTGTGAAAAAGAGATTAGTAAGAGAAATACTATGCTTTGGTCTTTCCTGTAAATCGGGACAGAGTTCCTATTTTAAAGACCTTTTCACAGGAAATTATTGTGGTTTTATTAGACATTAACATCTAAGAAGAAATTAATAAAGCAACTTGAGGTCTTCAAATTAGTAAAATTACTGCAACTCAATTATATTTTAAAGGGTTAGAAAGCAAATGCTAGTGATAATGTGATGAAGCATTTGTCACTAAATGGGTACCTGTTTGTATATTTAGATTAGTGTAGTTGTACTACTAAGGAAAGTGACTGGTATAAAATTCATTCAGGTGAGAACAGTACAATACTGGATTATGCACGGTATGGAGAAGGCAATACTAACATGGCTTTTGCAAGAAAAAAGATAAAGAGAACTTTCTATCTTCGAGCATTCTTTGAAAGTGTTAGAATGGGAGATAAGGTACTATGAATGCAATTCATTTGGAGTTTTCAATAAGCATTTTAAAAGTCTCCCAGAAGAGACTTAAGAAAAATGACTCAGAAATGCATAAGGGAAAAAGCAACTATGCTGTATAAACCAGTTAAGCAATTAAAAAAATTATACCAAATGGCTGTTCTGTAGGCCTAACATTAGGTACTCAGGTGATTGCACTGGGGCCAGTATTTAATAGGTTTATTAAATTTGGAAAAAAAGTGAAAGGATTTGTTGAACCATAATAATGACATTATGTTGTTTTCATTAGTAAAAACTATGAATGGCTGTGAGAAACTCTAGGTGGATTTAAATGTGACAACAGGGAACATAACTTGGATACATTTAAGATAAATGTACTGGTGACAAAAGACTGAATACCCTAACATGATAATAAGCACTGACCCTGTGGGAATCCCTAGATAGAGATGAAATGAGATTAAAGAGCCTA